ATTTATAAGCACTCCAAGACCTGGCAAGTCTTGTAATTGTGACTATTAAGTTCTACAAAGGGGCTCCAAGATGCAGTAGAAAAAAATGCTTCTCCCAAAGCCTGTGGGGAGGTTCCCCTCCTCCCAGCCCCAGCACCGAGCTGCAAGAGCCAGGGGAAGAGGGCCCCCTCCCCACAGGTCCCAGAACAAAGCTGTTGTGTCCAGACCAGGTCCTAGACAGGGAGGCCCCAGGGCTCTGGGTGCTGTCCCCGCCCTGTGTACTAACTCCGCACTCCCACTGGGCAATGGGAGGTGTGAGGCAGTGATTGCAGGTAAGAACACCATGCATGGCAGAGCCTCATCCTTCTGCACCCCAGGAGCTGGATTTGCTGTCTGCTATGGAGCACCGCACAGTGTGCAGGAACAAGACAGCCTGCCTGAGCACCCGTTGACCAGGAGCTGCTAAGGTAAGCCTGAGCCATAACCCCCCTGCCACAGCCTGAGCCCTCCCCGAACCCAGAGCCACCTCCTCTATACTAACCTCCTTATCCTGGACCAGATCCCAAAGCACACTCTCCTAGCCCAAAGCCCCTATCCCTAACCTGGAGACCCCCTCTCGTATCCCAAACCCCTCATACCCAAGTCCACTCCAGATCCTTCAACCCGTCCTGCACCTCAACCCCCTGCCTAAACACAGAGCCCCCTCCTGTCTTCTGAACCCCTCTGCCCCATCCCCAAGCCTGAAGCCTCCTCTTGCACCCAAACTCCTCATCCTCAGCCCCATTCCAGAATCCACAGCTGCAGCCCTCCAGCACCTCAATTACCTGCACTAGCCCAGACTTCCATTTAGAGCCCTCATCCCAACTCTTGCCACACACTCTCAATGTGCAGAATGACTTTTGTTATGTGATATCTCCACATAGGTGCTTATAATGAAAGTCACTGCACACATGAACACTGAGTTAGAGGGGAACACTGATTGGTGCAAAACTTTTTTTGGGGAAAAAAATCTGAGTCTGGGGACCATCACCTCGCTTCCTGTCAAATACCAGAATTGCCCTGAGCAAAGTAGCTACTTTTTGTACATTATATCATTCAACTCTGATTATAGTACACACAAGTCATATTGAACCATCGATTTTTAACAGTAGCCACATTCAGGTAAACAAGGAGTTTCACTAGAAGTCAATGGCTCAATATAGCCCCTTGTGAGAGTCAATTCTATTTTTTTAATAATTCACAGATATTAAATTCCGTTAAGCATCATTTCAGTGCTCCAAAGGAGCAATTATGAAGTCCTGAGCCATTGTATTTTTATTAGAAAGTCTCAACACAAAAATATTATCAATACAGCAAGAACTGTGTGTTAACTATCGGGAACAAAATAACTGAATAAGAGCTCTGATACACCAAGAACATAGTGGTGTACACCAGTACATTCAGCAGATCCCAACTTCTAGGCCACACACTGAATGAATAACCACACTTATCAGTCATTAGGCTCAAACCTTGATTCCACAACATTAGGGAGGGAGGTATTAAATGCGCTCCCCCCCACACCCCCCCCCAACACACACACACAGACACACAGACTATGGCTGTATGAAGAGGTAACAGAGGATTTTATCTGGGCAGTGGCAAAACCTTGCAAGAAGCCCTTATTAAGAAAGTTATACAATCCCCACAACAGTCCCATATACAAAGTTCTCAAGTTTATATTCAGGCACAGAGAGCACTAATATCTAACTAGAGCCAGCACTGCTTAATGAAGAGTTCAGGCTGCCTCTAGTCAGAGTCCCTTAGTCCCCAAACTGGGCATCTCCTATCCCCTGCACTCATCACTGATATTTGGATGTGGTTTGAGATCCATGTGACTCTCGGATGTTGCTGAATAGTAGTGTTCAAACCAGTGGTCTCAGTGCTGTTCAGGGCTCCTTCTGCTGGGTTTCGCCTATGCCTCCTGCCGGGCCATAGGAGTGCCTTAGGGCTGGAATACTGGCCCATAAAACAGGCTAAGTATTTAGACCTACACCCTGAAGCTGTAGGTGCTCGTTGCCAAAAGCCAACCATGTGCCTCTGCCACTCAAGTAGCCTACTGCCAACCAATCCGCTGTTCACAATGATGCAGAGCTAACCTCCATTTGTGGGGTGGCAATTCCTCCTGCAATGGGAAGCAACTGGGAATGGAAAAGCAGGATTGGGATTCTGACCCAGTCCTCTGGCCAACTGGATCTGAGGAAGAGGAGCCAGCTCCCCTCTGTGCCTGCCCTCTACTCTAAAAAGAAAGAGGTAAACACAAAGGACGGACTCATGAAGCATGACATCACTGACATGCATATGTGGAATGGCAGCTCCACAGGTGTCACTAACCCAATGGAGCCAGTGAAGCCAGAATAAAGGTTGGCGTACGGTTTTAATTCATTCCAGTGCACATAGACAGGATGTATGATTCACTTAAATTTTTAGCTCTCAAAACATACTACTTTTAGGGATGCCAACCTGTAGACTACTACATGATTAACACAAAAGCCTGGGCTTATCAGTAAATTCTGTCGACTACACACATTCCCCTCTCACACTGCCTCTGTATCAAAGGCAGTTGCAGGGAAGAGGGTAAGGGAAGGCCGGAGCAGGCTCCCCACAAGCACTAGATACACCTGCTCCCTCACCCCATGCTTCAACTTCTGATGGAGAAGCAGCAGTGTGGGGGGAAGGAGGGGAGAAGCGGGAGCCGATATGCACAGGAAGCCAGCTTTGAAGTTCACTCTCCAGGCATGCCAGCTCCATGTACCCTGCCCCGCCCGCAGCTGCTTCATATGGCGGGAGGGGAGGATGACAGGAGCTAGTGCTGGAGGGAGCCAGCTTAAAAGCCAACTCACCCCAGCACCAGCTCTGCAGTGCCACCTGCACCTCCCCCAGGCTGCTGCTTCTATCTGAAGCAGCAGAGCTGTGAGGGAGAGAAGGGGAAAAGTGGAGGCTGCCGTGATGAAGCCTGTCTGCAGCAGGCCTGCATTACAGGAAACAGCACAGGGTGGCAGGTGGGACAGTTTTTAAACCGGCTCCTGCCTGCCACCCCGCACTGCTACCTCTGTACTGAGGCAGAACTGTGGGATAGCAGCATCTCCCCAAGAGTGGGGCTGGAAGCTCCCAGCTCTGTCTCCAGGGGCTATCAAATAGTCATGTAACTGCTAAAATGTGATGTGGTTACATAGCTCTTCACACACACACACATTTCCTTCTAAGCACCATGTAACATCCCTAACTTCCTTCGAAGCACCATGTTCTAACCTTTCTGCATTTATTATCTGCAGCATTCTTACTTTTCCATAAACCATTTGAAGAGAAGTATTGGGTAGTTTTGTCAAACTCATGAGTTCATCACAAGGCTCATTATATTTGGTGTTTTTTCCTATAATGGTAGCTCCTTGAGTCATGTGGTTCTATGAACAGCTCAGTTACCATTTAAAAATATTTAAATTTGTAGAAGAAAGTTTTAAGTTCTACAAGGTTGCAAGGAGGGGAAAACAAAAACAAAAACCTAGAAAATTTCATGGGAATGAAGCCCAGAGGCTCAAAATAAAAAAAAAAAAAAATGAACCCATAATTACTTATTTTTAAAAGTAATGATTTTTTGAGACATGAGTTGATTTTTTATTATTTGGGGATATGGATTTCACCTTTCTGCAGTTTAAAAGGGATATAAATTTAGATTTCTAAATGCTACATTAACATTTTTTTCCCTTAATAGTAATGTGAATGTTAGCCACTGGGAGGACTGATTACTATTTAATGGACACCTTTCCTTTGGACTCACTCAAATCAGATGGAGGCAGCAAATGGGAGTGGGTGTTGGGGTGGTAAGAGGGGCTAATTCAAAGCAGCAGCATCGCACAGCTGAGCCCAGGTTTTGCAAAGTGGCAGCACAGCATGGAGCCCAGGCTTAGCTGGGGACTCCAGCTGATCCCGGGCTCCACACAGCATTTCTGCAGAACTAGGGATCAACCGGGGAGTCCCCAGCTGATCCTGGGCTCCGCGTGCCATTTCAAATCAGCAATGCAACATGGAGCCCAGGGTCAGTGGGGTACTCTGAGTTCCCTACTGACCCTGGGATCAATGAGGGTGCTTCCACTTTGAAATGCCTAAGAGCCCCCGCTGGGGACTCTTGTACATCTCAAAGCTGGCACCTGCGTGCAGCCTGGAGTCAGAGGGAAATCCTGCTAGCCACGGGCTGCACTCAGAGTTCTGCGTTCCTACTTTGAAGTGTACAGGAGCCCCCAGCTGTGGCTCTTGTACATTTCAAAGGAGGAATGCGGAAGTGCCTATTGACTAGTCAATGGAAATTCCATTAACTACTCAACTAATAAATTAACCGATATTTAACATCCTTACAATAGATGTTTTGCCCTTTGAGAAGTTACAAATGGTTATTTCTGTTCATCGCACCCTTTCATTTCTTGTATTTCTCATTTGAAACCAAGATCTATTCTTGTGCAAGAACCAATGCTCTGTGGACCAACAAGTACTCTTATTGCACACAATAGCTGAATCTTTGGCCTAAAATAAATTTAAGTAATTAATACAATTCCCCACTGAATATCTCCCTTCCCAAAACCATTAAAATGCAATTAGAAAGAGCACTTAAACACAATATAAGTAACTGGTATCCACTAAACAGATGTCTAAGCCCCTTTGAGAAGATGGTGATGCTACTGATCACTGCTTTAGGACTTAAACATAAGCAAATGAAAAGGGCAATCTCAAATCACATTACACTTGTTGATTTCCATGTAGGAAACATGACAGTCATAACCTTTACTCTGATTAATAGTGATTCTCAGGTACTTCCTGAATTACCATGTTTAAAAGAAAGCATGAGTCATTGAAGACTTCATGGTCTTCCAAGGTGAATTGAAACATCCACTTAAATATCAGATTTTCTATTGATATCAATATAATTTTAAGAGTTTGGATTCTCACAAAATAGTTTATGCATTATGCCAACTAAAACAGGAAAAGCCTACCTGTTTCCTTTTTTCCGGAGGAAGAGAAGGATCCCCATCCTACAAATAAAAGGATGCAGTTTATTAGAAGCTTATTTCTGAAATCTGTGACCATATATGTATCTGAAACCACAATGTATCTGAATTAAGTCTATTGATTAATTGCAATTAACTTGTGATTAAATCAACTACATTAATCACCATTAAAAATATTAATTGCCCTGTTAATAAAACACCAGTTAAAGTGTATTAACTATTTTGGAAAGTTTTTTACATTTTCAAATATATTGATGTATATTACCATCGAGAATACAAAGTGTGAAGTAATCACTTCATATTTTCACTAAAAATATTTGCACTGTAAAAATGATTCAACAAAAGTGTGTTTTTCAATTTGCCTCATACAAGTACTTCAGTGTGATTTCTTTATCAAGAAAGCGTAACTTAAGTGTAGAATTTTTTTATTGCATAACTATACTCAAAAATAGAACATAAAACTTTAGAGCCTACAAATGCACTCAATACCACTTCTTGTTCAACCAATTACTATGACAAACAAGTTTGTTTACATTTCCAGAAGACAATGCTGCCAAGTTATTTACAGTGTCATCTGAAAAGAAGAATAGGCATTCACATGACCCTTTTGTAGCTGGCACTGCAAGGTATGTGTGTCATGTGTAACCATCCATATGCACCTTCCTGCTTTAGCCACTATTCCAGAGGATATGCTTCCGTGCTTATAGTGCTTGTTAAAAAAATAATGCAATGGATTTGTGAATGAAGTCCTTAGGGGAGAATTGTGTGTCTCCTGTTCTCTTTACCTGCATTCTGCCATATTTCACATTATAGCACTCTTGGACTCAGCATATGTTTGTTTTAAGAACACTTTCACTGCAGATTTCACAGCACTCGACCCAAGTTTTAAGAAACTGAAGTACCATCCAAAAACAGACACAAAGGGTATGTCTAGACTGCATCCCTCTGTCGGCAGAGGGATGCAGATTAGGCAGGTTGACATTGCAAATGAGGCAGGGATTTAAATATCCCATGCCTAATTTGCATAAAAATGGCTGCCACATTTTGCTGACTCAGCACTTTGTCGGCACAAAGCAGCCATCATAGACATAAGGGATCTGTCGAAAAAGGCTTTGTTTTCTCGACAGATCCCCCGCTAGACGGCCGCTTTTTGCCGACAAAATGCTGAGTCAGCAAAATGTGGCAGCCATTTTTATGCAAATTAGGCATGGAATATTTAAATCCCTGCCTCATTTGCAATGTCGACCTGCCTAATCTGCATCCCTCTGCCGACAGAGGGATGCAGTCTAGACATACCCAAGGTGTGGAGCATGCTTGCACATTGCAAAACACGAACCACCAAAAAACAAACAAACCCCCACAACCAACAATCACCACCACTCAATCTGCTAGTAATATCAGACTCATGATGATGAAAATGAACATGCATCCGTCTACTCTGCTTTGGGTCATTATCAAGCAGAACCCATCATCAATATGGATGCATGTCCTCTAGAATGGAGAATGAAGCATAAAGAGACACAGGTCTCTTTAGTCCACCTTACACAAATATCTTGTGACATCAGTTACAAAACCCTAAAATGCTATGCAAATACCTGTTCTCAATTTGTGGTGACAATCAACAAGAAGAGGGCAGCATTATCTCCTGCAAACTGTAATAAAACTAGCATGTCTTCATGATTTGATGAACAAGTAAAACTGAGTGGACTTGTATGTTCTAAAAAGTTTTAGATCATTTTATTTCTGAGTGCAGTTATTTTGTATACAAAATTCTACATTTGTAAACTCAACTTTCATGATAAAAAGATAGCACTCCAGTACTTATAGAAGGTGAATTGCAAAATACTATTTCTTTTGGGGGATTTTAGGGCAAATATTTGTAATAAAAAAATAAAGTGAACACGGTACACTTTGCAGTCTTGTAATTGAAATCAATATTTGAAAACAGAAAATATCCTAAAATATTTAAATTAAATGATATTCTATTATTGTTTAACATGGCTTTAATCATGATTGTTTTAAATTGTGTGACAGTCCTAATTTGAACCAATAGTTTTTGAAAATTAGGTTTCAAAAAGATGCAGCTTAAGACAATTTGTATTAACTTTCAAATTCCAAGAATCTTCTGAAGTTAAGATTTATTTGCATTGATGAAAACAGCATATCATATATTTGCACAGGAAATCCTCGCCATTCGCGAATACTGGGAGCCATGACTCCTGGGCCCCGCAGTGAGTTCCCAAACTCACCACATGAGCTGGGAGCTGCAGGGAGCTCAGCACACAAGCCACCATGCCCCTTACTCTCAGTCTCCTGGCCTGGCAGATATGTGGACCCACAAATACCGAGAGTCTCATATATGACACTGTTCTGCATGATGTTACTGGGGCATAACCATACAGTCAGTTTTTAAAGTGATAGCCTGACTTAGATTAATTTCCTTGGGATTGGAACAGTCTTTGAGCCATACACATACTTAGCAGAATTTGATTTTTATTTTTTTCAATTTTGACTAACAACAATTTTCTTCAATTGACTACTTTTATTTTTACAGATGTGGCAAATTAAGGGGAGTAGGTTTGGGGCTGGAGAAGCACTGACCGTAGGAGCAGCAACACACCAATACTTGCAAACACAAGGGGCAGAGGGAAGGCTTAACTTACACAGACTGTTACCTTTATTGATTGCAAAGGGGCAGCTGAAACTGACAGTTACCAGCATCCATCTATTTAAATCTAATCCTGCCAAGCCTACTTTTATAGCACTAAGTACATCAGTGCTTAACAAATGTATAATGGTGGAATCGGGATCATACCATCTGGCAGAAGCATAGCAAACCATTAATTTTTACAGCACTCATTGGACTCTCAAAAAGAAAACTTTTTTTTTTTTAAATTGAGGTTCATTCTTGCCCAAATAGCTACAATATTCATAAAGGTAACATACAATCAGCTCCAAGTATTTCTTTTTTAGTGACTGGTGTCGTTCCCGCAGTTGATTGGCCATAAGCTTGTACTGGTCTTTTTCCTGTTGACATGTGTCCAGCTCCTTGGAAAGAATCAGCAATGCTTCCTTTTTACTGTCTAGCTTTCTTTTACATACCAGATACTGCAAGAGAGAAAAGAGAAAGTAATTAGACAAAGCACTAACTTGCAAGACGATACTGAACTGAGAAAACTAACAGAAAACTAAGTTTACATTTTTAAGAAAGTATTTTTAAGAGCAATTTATAAGGGTTGAGAGATTTGCATGTACACCTTACTAAATTAAACTGAACACTTAAATATATTAGAATCACTTAGTATTTGCTGAACAAGAGAATGTTCAAATCAACTCTTAGGGTTAAATTATTCCAGCAGTCAAGTCAGAATTTCCTGGTCATTTCCCATCTACACACCATCCAAGGAAGCAGTCAGAGAATTCCACAGCTTAACCTTGACCTGCTCTCCAGGCACCCAATATAAACAATGCCCTATCATTGTTACCTAAATTACCGTTAATTTTTAGTTCTGCAATATAGAGGAACTGATTACAAGACTAGGTCTAAGACAGAATTTCCTGATACTGGTTACAGCACTTTTTGAGTTAAGTAATTGTCATGGATAATATTTAGAAAGTCCAGGTATGTTTTAGAATCATGCAGTCATAAAATACTAGACCTGGAAGGGATTTCAAGAGGGCATGGAGTCCAGTCACTTGTCCTCACAGCAGAAGCAAGCATTGTCTAGAATGATCATCCCTGATACATGTCTGGCTGACCTGCACTTAAATATCTCCAGCAATAGAGATTCCACAACCTCCCTAGGCAACATATTGTGGTGTTTAACCACTCTGACAGTTAGGAAGTTTTTTCCTAATGTCCAGTCTAAACTTTCCTTGCTGCAACTTAAGCCCACTGCTTCATATCCTATCATCAGAGGCCAAGGAGAACAATTTTTCTCTCTTGTCCTTGTAACACCGGTTTAGATACTTGAAAAGTGTTATATCCCCTCTCAGTCTTTTCTCTTCTAAACTAAAAAAGCCCAATTCTTTCAGTCTTCTCTCAGAAGTCATTTTTTCTAGACCTTTAATCATTTTTGTTGCTCTTCTCTGGACCTTCTCCAGTTTCTCCACGTCTTTCCTGAAGTGTGGTGTAAAAACTGGACAAAATACGCCAACTGAGGCCTAATCAGCACAGAGTAGAGCAGAAGAATGACTTCTTGTGTCTTGCTCACGATACAGGCAGTCCCCATGTTACATACAAGATAGGGACTGTAGGTTTGTTCTTAAGTTGAATCTGTATGTAAGTCGGAACTGGCGTCAGCCGCTGCTGAAACTGATCAGTTTCAACCGCGGCTGAATCTGGACGCCAGTTCTGACTTACATACAGATTCAACTTAAGAAACCCAGGAGTCCCCAAGTCAGCTGCTGCTGAAACTGATCAGCAGCTGATTCCCGGAAGCCTGGGGCAGGGCAATTCTGCCTCAGGCTTCCTGTAGTCAGCCACTGGTCAGTTTCAGCAGCGGCTGACTT